CTGAACCCCTAACCGTTGTCACCATAAGATATAGGTGCTGCATGTCCATATAACGGAGCATCCCAACAGAATAAGTGTGCAGAAAATTTACAAGTTAGACAAGCGAAAGTATTGTCTTCGCATTAACAAAAAAACCAGGTCTGTGTCTAGACAATACAGGTATTACCTGGAGAAAAACAAAGCTTGAAGCTAATACTCCCACTGCAACAGTTTGTGCTTTTTGCTTGGGATAATGATGAAAAGTTTATGAAGGAATGTACGCATGAATTGTTGACACATTGTACGTCATTGATCATTCCGGGACTGTATAATTCATGCATGTTAATGCCATTCCACTTCAGAGATTCATAGTCTTGATGAATATTATGACTGAAAGCCAAATGTCTTCACTTTTCCAACTCCAGCATCCGGAAGCAATAGACTTGTTTGAATGCACCAGGTAAACTTCCAGAACATCTTGTCCGCCGTTTTCTTGGGCCATGACAGTTGCAGTTAGTAAGTGTTGGACTTTGCTGGTCACTTTCACAATGAGTTAATCCTAGATTTTGATAATTACGAAGTTGTGGTCCAGTGGATATTTTTATTTCTTCTTGTTGTAGTTAGGTGTTCTGGACAAGGTAAATCTGGTTACCCTCCATGAAGGGTAGTTTCAGCCATGGTCTATTCCTTCAGCAATTAATTATCGATGGCGACCAAGCCAACGTTTATAACTGGATTATTTTTCTACAACGGGAAAAAAGCAGACAAAGCAGCGGGCGGAGAAAGCAAGAATTTCAACAAGGAGACTGCTTTCTATGTTCATGATTCTCCCTACTTCCCTTGCCATGGCTTTCATTGTATGTCCTTTTTCTATAGGGTATTTATAAATATAAATTTCATGCTGTCGTGTGGAATGGAATTACTGTTTCTGATTACCGTGTTGGGTGGGGCAGAATGTAGCGGTAGTTATGCCACTAGTAGGAGAAAAGTAACATCCATAGAAAAGTTCCACAACAACCCAATTAGCTGCATTATACTCCCCGACACAGGAGGTGTCCATGGTCATCCTGAGCGCATGATTCGCGCAGAAGGACGGACAGCCAACTGACATTCAGCAGCCTCTTGGTATGTGTTGGCAAGCTCCCACGAAAGAAAGCGAAGTGCTGGTCAGTCACGTCTCGAAATCCCTACTTTCAGGAGCACTTCTTCACACGAGTTGCAGCAGCGATGACCCCGACTGTAAATCACAAATGTGCCCCAAAGCGGCTACTGACCTCCCTGTCTCCTGGGTAGGTCGCCATTCTCTGCCAATAGTTTTCTTAAACAGTCAAGTCTACCTTCATTCACTTCAAAATTATCGGGTAGACCAGGTTCTCTAAGTCCCTAGGGTAGCCCAATCTCAAAATGCTCGTCGACTAACCTAGAAGAACGACCCACAATCTCAATTACCCATTTCTTCTCTACGGAAAGCGTCGTACCAGTACTGTCAGTATCCCTGAACTCATGGTCATGTACCCTCCTTAGATTGTCTAACACGTTGTAGTTATTCAAACAGTGACAAAAGGTGGTTCTGTGCGTGGACTTACCTCTCTTCGGGTGAAACAACCCAACCCAAATGAGCTTGAACCCCAAATGGCCGATTTCTGTCTCAAAGACTCTATTCCAGGGCGCACTGTACATATATGTGATCAAGGTAGCTTAAAGTCTCTCAAATGGCTCCAGACCTTAATCCGTTGTTTAGATAGGGTGCGTGCACCTGATTTCGGTAGGCTACTGAAGGTGTAACCCCACTGTATCTTCACTAAACCCTATCCATCCAATGAGTAGGGTCCCATACTCACTTCCTTAGCCTTTGCGTTGAAAAGTCTTAGTCGCGTTGGCCACACTCAAGAATGATTTCCTACCAACAGAGCCTGGATCCTTAACAGCTTGTTTCAGTACAAATGACATGTCCAATTCATTATGCAGTAATGCATAAGTCTCTATGATGCCCTCTGGACCCATCAGTCTCGCTGGAATATTCCCACTTTCTCTTTGGGAGACTTCATTTCCCTTGCTAAGTGAGTTATTTATCCGGTTACCTTAGCTCCATTGTCTGTCGCGAGCAGCGAGGAGTGGTAGCTTACGTAGTAACCCTCAAACTTACGTTTAAGTCTGGAACTGCAGAATTTGGCTATGTGACCTCTCCCTAAACATTTGTAACGGACATCAAGCTCTTTGACAGCTGATTTTCGTTCATCGGCGGACGCTTTCAGCAGTCTCTGACACTCAGATTAATTGTGGAAGTCAGGACGTAAAATGCCACTCTTGTCACGTGCAGCCCTATCACTTGTCGAACTATTAGCACCTTCCGCCGAACTGCAATATGACCCTCTACAAAGCCGTGAGCCAGCACTCTTAATCTGACCGCATTCCAGGCTGTGTCCAATCAACAAGCCGTATCTCAATCGAGCTACCCTAGCTATCTCCTCAACAAAGCAAACTAAGTCAGCAAACTCAGGTCCCCTCCCAGTGATCGAAATCTTGTCTGCTGCGTCAGCCCATCTATCCCGTAAAACTGTAGGTAGACGACTGACAATAGCCCCCGAGTTGACAGACGAATGTGAGTCCGCGACATAGCCAGTCCGTGACGGTGTTATTGGTACGCTTCTAAGTTCAACATATAACTCATTCATAGCTTCAGCCATGTTCTCCACTGAGTGTCTATTTCTAACCAAACCATCAACAGGTGGTCGTGCAATCATATGCTCCTATCCAGACAAGCCATGAAGGGCTTCTCCTGCTCGATCATGTCCAAGGTCACCAGGCGGTGGGATACATACCTATTTCGCTTCCTTGCCTTTCCTTCGCAAATGTGCGGGAGATAGGTCAATTCTGGCCATTGCCACGGAGTTTAGTTTCTCTCCTACTCCTAAACTGACTAATAAACAGCTGACATTGGCCAGGTCGACCATCAAAATGCATCGGTTATATCCTTGGCAAAGAGATGTTCACAGTCGAAGCCAGACAACTTCTCCGGTCCGATTCAAAGTTAATTTGTGTATCACCGGCTTCAGGTGTTCTAATAGCATTCTTAACTCTAAAATTACTGCACGCCTTGTCCTCAACTCCCGATACATCTTGAGACGGTACAGTCACTGATCCTGATTCTCTTTCTATCTTTTTCTCTTCCGACAAACGTTAAGGTGTCCTATAACTAATAACACTGTGGTTACCACATGAACCAACACCATATACGCTAGCTTTATTTTTACCATAACACAAGGTGTTAGTACGGCGGAGACCTGCGTGAACCATGGGTTACCAAGATTCTGCATCAAATCCTTCCCTTTTCATCTGTTCTAATCATGCAATATGTTATTTGAATGCATCTTGTACTCTTGCATCCATTTAAACTGTTTCCAACCCTCCGTTTCTTGATCCAGTAACACAACAGTGAAAAAAGTGTCGTGCTATGTGGAAATGGACTTTTGGGTGTACAGATATTCAGATACTTATCCTGAGTTGCAGGTTTTTGCACCGTTTGAATAAACCGCCACAATTAAACTTACACCCGAATTTCTGCTGCCTGTTCACCTTGGACAGGATGCCCATGCAAAACCAGCGGGCTATTTCTCATTATTGCCTTGAATGCTGTTACTATTAAAATCGTACAGAAGCATTAACCACTTCGTCTGAAAGTACTGCTTTGGGATTGAATTTTTTCAAAAGTTACATGCTGAGGATTCCACACTGTCATACGCATTGTTTGGAGAGAAGCGATCACTATTCCTCTTATTATCATTGAAATTCCAAATTATTATCTATAGGCAAAACTTTCCACCCATGTTATGATCATGTATTATTAACTTGCATAGAAGCTTCATTTCCGTGATTGGAAGACGTGTTTAAAGGGGCAGAGAATCCTAGATATCAAAATTTCGTGTCAAAGGAAAATTACATAACACGTCAGCCAAAGCGAAAGGGTGAAAATGAAGAATTTACGTTACATGAAATCATCTGTGTGGCGTGTAAAACAGTTACGAATATCAGGAAGAAAATACCCAAAGTGAACTCAACCAAACCCAAAACATTTTGATGCCAAATGCACACACAAACTGCTAGCAAAACCTGTGAAAATCGTTTCCTACGGCAAAATGTATTTATCTTAAGGAAGAAATCACGGTTGAAGAATATTTATCAAATATGAAAAGATGTATTCATTCGTCTGGAAGGATAATTCTTAACGATTCTTAAAAGACTGATGCCTATGGTTATTAGGTGAGCACATGTTTTCATATGTACCTACGAGAAGCAGCAAGATATCTATGCAACCATTACCCTCCAACAAGTACTTCAATGGATGCAGTGGATGTTATGAAACTGAGATCACACAACCAACGGTCACTGTCGGATGTTTTTGTGTTCTCTGAGCAGGATTGATCTTCGTAGTTCACTACCCTATGCTGCTTTCCCAAATTTATGTCCACATTTGACGACAAGGAAGTCAGTGGAGTGGAGTAATGCATCAGTAGATCAGTCATGATCACACAAAGCATCAAATTTGTTTTTTGCGAAATACTGGCTTCAAAGTGACCAGAAAAATTCTGCTGCAACCCCAAAATCTAAAAAGCAGACCTGCTGAAATTGTTCAAACTGAACAACCAGCGAAATTATACAAGTTTTATCTGTTATAGGCTTGTAAAAAGCTATTTGGTCGTTTCCCTCCTTTCGTGAATTGTTACTCACATGGTTCCGTTTTCTTCCTTCAGCATGGTGACAGCATGCAATCAATATAGTGGCATGTGGAACCAAAGTTGATGATTGATTATGCGATCACACCTCACAAACTCCTCAATACACACAACCATCACCACTTTCTGCTATACCATGATACAAGGAACAAAAGCTTTCACTGGAGATTGAAACTTTAACACCGTAGAATTAGTGGCGGCATCTGCAGTGGTGGCGCGTGTGACGGTCTAGTTGCGTTGTTTGATCATAGCTTCTGCTTCCGTGCTTGTTTTTGGCTTGTCTGTATAATGAGGATCATCAAATCGTCGGAAATAGTGAAGATTCCTCGTGGTATCAGTATCAAGGCTATTAAGCGTATAGTTTATGTTAAAGGTCCTCGGGGAGCATTAAAACGTGATTTTAGTCATCTACATTTGGACATTAAAGTTGCAAAGAAGAAAGTTATTGTAACAAAGTATTTTGGTAACAGAAAGGAGTTAGCTGCTGTCCGGACAGTCTGCTCTCACATAGGAAACATGATAAAGGGTGTTACATCAGGTTACCGGTACAAGCTTAAATCAGTGTATGCTCACTTTCCTATCAACATGATAACGAATGCTGATGGCTCGAGGCTTGAAATTCGTAACTTCTTGGGTGAAAAAGCAAATAAGTTTGTTTCCATGGCGGCGGGAGTTAAGGTTTCTCCCACGGGCATGAAAGATGAAATCCAAGTCGAAGGCAATGATGTTGAGAAAGTTGCAAAGTGTGGTAAGTCTCATTTCTTTTCGTGCCTAACTCTTTCAGCTGCCCTTATCCAGCAGTCTTGTAAAGTTCGTCATAAGGATATCCGAAAATTCCTCGACGGTATATACGTGTCATGCAAAGAAGCTATCCAGCAGAATGAATAAAATGTTATTTGTCTTGGGACCGTATCTTATTTTCCTGATGGGTTATGGGTGCACGTTGCGGACAAAAACCGTTGCGCTTCAGTAAGCTGTAGTTCATACAGTACTCAGGTGGTGTTTTAATTTGCGTAGTTGTGTTTCGGCATAAGCGTCGTCTTCAGCAGAAAAGTGGCAGATTTCCCTCACTTAAGCTCATTGCGATTACGGGTAGCCTGGCGAAGAATTTTGACTGCATTTGAGTTATTATCCAGGCCTCGGTGACGCAGTTTTTAACCCTTGACTTGAGAATAGTAGTGGGTTTCTGTCCCTGCCTTTCCTGGGTTCTTGTGTCGGTGCATATTGTGTTTGGTCTTTGTACAACAAAGTGCTACAACATCCGGTGTTATTGTCTACTATGTCGGCATCTTTGGTGGCTGTCGATAAAGAGCTAAATTCTTCCTGCACAGTCAACTACTACGGATGATCCCAATTCAATATCTGAGGGTCTTGTTGGGTCTCCTGACGCGATTTGCCAACAGACGCATTGTGGCTTTAGGAATCGGCATTTACCCTGGATAGTGCTTCGACATGTCATCTTTGCGGATCTCTGTTATCTTCTAGGCATAGTGTTCTGTTATATTCCCTTGCTTGATACACCAACTGATGTCTAGTTAGGATGCTTGAGGATCCAATGTTAAGTTTTTAAATTTTCCCAACCCTAGTTTTGACACCTAGTCCGTGATCACGCGTACATTTAAGTGTCGGACTTGTTAGGTGCACAGTTTTGTTCTCATGAATGTGGGATTGCTTGCAGGAGTTGATGATACCATTCCTGGGCACCTGTTTCATCTTTCTGGTCTTGAAAGATGATTTGTTGGCTCCTACACATCTTGTGGAGATGGTCAAGTGAAGCGAAAAAACCTCAATCTGCGTACCATGGTTATGCAGCCTGGTGACACGTTGCTACCGATGACGGTCTATATGGCTCTTGCCGTGGTGCGGAAACTTTCGCATGCTGTATACGTTAGATTTCATTTGCTTAGAGGATAGATTAATGCATATCAGTGCTGACTTGCTTCAAAATTTAAGTGTTGAGATTCTTCACGCTCATAATCTTTCCTCATCAAAGTTGGCAGCCACTTGATGTAGATATCCATTTGGCATTACCTCTAGGTTAGCTCTTCACATAAATGGCAGGAATAATCACTTAGGGCGTCAAGGATATTTAACTTTTGCAGATACACCTCTGTTCATCACTATTGGACCAGGCATTTTTGCGTAACGGTCCAAGTTGCCACACCTTATACCAGCACATAAAGTAAAAAGGCAATAAGACGGTGAATGAAAAAAAAGTAGAAAGTTCTTGAAAAGGTTAAGGATGGATGAGATTCAGTGAAGTGAGGATAGTGTACGTACACATCTGTTCCGCATCATCTAGCATCCAACCACCGATTCCTCTTGCCCCACGGATCCCAACCGGCTAGTCTGCATCGTCCTACATGGTTTGGACAAACACTCAAGGACTTCATGCATTGATACCATGTTTTAGCTTGATCGCCCTGGCCTATTCCGGCCAAGAGCTAGTTCGGCCAACATTGTGGCAGGCGGTGGCTAGACATACGTAACACGTATCTCGGCCGATGAAAGTTCACAGCAGCATCGACTGACTTACCTCTCTTGCCAAGACTCTGCACCTGAGTCCTGCGTTACACATGCTGACATCACAAAACGGCCTGTTCTAGGAAGGCAGCGGTGGTTAAACACATGAAGCTTTCTCATATGTACCTATAATGGCCATGTTTCATACCCATACAGTAGAACGGAGTGGACTGCAACGCAGTGCAATCAACGACTAATAAACAATCTGATATCGCTGCCGTGGCATAGTCTGGCAAACGCCATCCGAACGGCTTTGTATCTGTACAGAGATTTTACTGACCCACCAGGGCCGACTCAACTTCGCAGGCAAGCGAAGTGATCAACGTACTCAGCCGCTTCACTGTCAATTACTACCCGGGGCACCGTTAAAGACTAGTCCTTGAGCAATAGTTTGCATTCAGGTGGCGAGAAAGGCATCCGAAATTATCAAATTGCCGCTCAAGGTGTCCGGAAAACTGCGCTCCCATCTAACAGGACTATGTCATGTGTGTATTCTAGGTTTACCAAACATTCTCTGATTAGGTTAATCCCTGTGTAGTCGGATGTCGAGAAGGAGACCTCTAAAAGAACATCTATGGTAAAATTGAACAGGAATGTAGAGGGTGGTCGTCCTTGGCAGGTATCACTCGACGCACACATCTCACCGTAGGCTGTAACGCGCCCACACGTTCGATTAAAGAGCCTTCAATTGGGTGACGTACTTACTCGGTATCCCTTCCAGTGAGAGATGCTGTCTTAAGACTTCTCGACCGAACCGAATGCCACCTTCAGGTCGACAAATACAGCCATTGTCGGATGGGTGCCTGTTTTCCAGGACCTGGTGGAGTGTGAATATTTGGCCGGTATACTCATGGCTAGGTCTGGAGCCTGTCTGGTTTTCTCAGGCTTGCTGTTCCTGATCTCCAATCAGCCGTCTAGTGATTACAGGACCTCGAATCCTATGCCCTATGTTCGTTAGGTTGGTTTCTCTGGGGTTATCACAAGAGGACTTCTTGACTTTTTTGAGGACTGGGTTAGTCAGTGATTCAGAGGGAATCACATGTGACTCCAGAACACTAGTCAACACTACTATCGTCCTCATATACCTTAGGAATTATTCCGTGTGGTCTTGCCGCCCTTCCTCGTTCCAAGTTACCTACCGCTTTCTCGATTTCTGCAAGTGTTGGGTTGTCTGTTTTAATGTTCCATACAGGATCCCACTGGGTAGCAGGCATTGCATTCCTGCTGGAGCTCATTTGGACTGTTCCTCGAAGTGTTTCGCCCATCGTCCCCCTTGTAAGTGTTTCGCAGACCCATCCTTCGCTAACCGTTGACCTTCTCGCCCCAGTTTCTCTAATAAGCCTAAATAATTATCTGCTGTTACCTATCGCTTCTGCCTTTCCCTTCTTTTTAACTTTCCTTGCCCACTACCGTTCGCTGTATTTGCGTAGACTTTTGTCAGTCTACATTTTAGTTGCGTTCGCTCATTGTACTCAGAGCCTGCAGGGATGCGTTCGTGGGCATGGATTAATTCAGAAGCTACTGATTTCCACTGACTCTTTTTAACCACTTTTTGAGAGTTGGCTACAGTGTTCAACGCTGTTTTTGAAGCAGACTGGAGATGGCACCAAGGTTTTTCTGGATGTGTGGTAGTGTTCTAATCTGATAACTGCCTAGCCAGTTTTTCATTGAAAGTGACCCTAGTGGTCTCATTGTCGAGCTGCACTCGTAATGTTCAGGTTGCCAAGTTTTTTCTGCGTCCATAGAGATGCAAACATACTCGCTTGAACCAACGTATGGGCGCTATCTAAACACGTGCTTCAGAAGGAGTGGCAGTTTTCAACTGATCTCCAGCGATGACTGATAACAATGTGCTATATGTGTCCATCTCTGAGTTGAGCTTGGTGTACACCACGTCAGACAGTGTTTTTATGTCTGAAGTTCGTGCTGACCATAAATGTTTATCTGGGCGCAGTTGCAGTAGTTGGTCGCCATTATCTGTCCGTCCAACCGGCGTTCCCAAAGTGCCACCTAAGTGTCTTTCTACTTGACACCCCACCCTATTGTCCACTGAAATCACCTGCAACAACCGCCATGTCTGAGCAGTTGGCTTTTCGAAAAAGGCTAGACAGTTTTCGGCAATATTCATCCGAACTACAGTCAGTAGGTGGATAAGCAGAGATTACAAGGAGACAACGGCGTTTCACTTTCCCGTTTAGTTTTCACTCTGTCGTTCAGTCGGAAAGCGCATAGGCCGCTGTCAACTGGAACCCAGTCCAGTAGTGAGCTTTCTACTCTAGTGCATTATGCTATTCTAACACCTGGAAGATCGCGAGAGCTAGCCATCGAATCTGCAGGAACTCGAAGGATGAATTTTGTGGATTCACCTTATTGACCAGGAGAAGTTAAGTAAATAGTTGCACTTAGGACCTGTATGCGTTTCTCATAAACACACGTCCCGAGTTGATAGGGTTTTCACCAATTTGATGGAGGGTGGGGACGTTGACGGCTCCACTGTGTAATTTGGGACGTGGTATAAGGAGACCGGTAATGCTATTCTGTGGACTCATATTGTCGTCGAAAGCTACCGAGCTAGAAATTAAAGATTTAGGATTGTTAACTGAGAGACGAGAGGGAAGATTAGAAGGTAAGGAATGGAGATGTAGGAGGGAACTTGAGCGCTGACAAAGTTATTAGGGCGGTTGACACTTCGTGGCTGCCCGCACCGTGGGAGGCTAGATCATCTTGAGGTGCCTGAAAAGAAGGACTAGTGCGTGACAGCAAAGCCTGGGGGACATCTACTGGAGCCCAGTCACGTATGGCCTTTTTGATCCCATGATAATTGGCTTGTATTATAGGGAATGTAGTTGGACATACGTTCTGTGGTTTTTGATCATCAGTGACAACTGATCGAAGCCACCATAATGCATTATCTCTTTGTGTAAGAGCATGCTAAGCGTAACTGCTTTATGTCTAACCACTACCCAACAAACCTTTCTGGTATGGTAAGACTCCGACAGAAGAGGCGTTCCACTGGTATAGCTCGTTTGGTCATCGTGTGTGCAACCCTGACCACCACTTCGAAGTAGCATCTATTCATGAGATCGGAAGTAATATTGTGGCATTTCCTATTCCCAACCAAAGCTTGCTATATTTTAGAAGTGGGGTGCATTAACTTAGTGTTTCAAATGGTTAGCAGTGGAACCGAAGAACTTTTCGTGTATTTGTATTTCTCATCTAGAATCAGTGAATCCGCTACCTTGATTTGGTAATTGGGCTTAAATATCACAATTACCCATGTTGATAGCAACATTTTCTTGAGGTCATCGCACGCCATCAATGTCTGACGGATAGTTTTAAGGCAGGAAGTACTCACCGTTAGAGCGTAAACTGCCACGGTGTGACGGAGGGCAGGGTGGTATTACTGACCAAACGGCAGTGGCAGCAGTACGTTGATGCTACTTTCCTCGTAAGAAATTGGAGTTATAGGTCAATCCTAGGAGACTCGCTCCTGTCTATTTGTAACCTTTGCTTACGCACTCACTAACTGCAGTTCGGGTGAAACTAGAAAGGTGTTCTACCGAAGAGTATCCAACCTTCTGCTGAAAGTCAGATATCCAGGTGTGGTCATCATGGCAGATGATTTTAATGCACAATCGGGTAGGCTGAGAAAGTCAATTCAGGTTTCCTGGCCAAACGAAAGGATAGTAATGGTCGCCTACTACAACTTTTTCCAGAACGTGTTAGAGCTCGTGGTGAGTGCTGTCTGTCAAGAATATCTATTTCCGTTCATATTTAGCTTCACAGTCGACGTGCTTATGAAGTTCCCCCTCCCGTCTGTTCTCACGGGAATCGACCCTGCCACGAAGACTTCTCAGTGAGTCTACAATAGGTGGTTGATATCATCCTGTTAGGTAGAGTCGCGCATAAAGTCTGTCTTAGTATGTTCAAATTCTAAATTTTTAGTGTTCTGGCTAAGACTAGTATTGGAGCTTAGCTTAAACAAATGATGAAATGGGCGATCTGGATTATTCGAAACGCTATGCTTTATTATCAAGTCACCTTTCAGTTATCTATATATCGAGGAACATTGATCAAATGTTTCCATGTGTACCTCGTATGGTAGGAGGTTTAGTCCACTTACTGATTTAGTGCAGTCCCTCTGTATTATGTTTTCGAAAGCCAATAGTTACATATTCCGAACGAAAATAATACGCACGCTTAGCTGACAGCTAACTTAGTACGCAAGAGCTACTGACTTCAATCCCGGGATGAATAGAGAGAAGACCGAAGCTGGATGATGAGATAGTTTATTACTCCGAGAATATAATATGGTAATCAATCCCAAAATACGTGAATAAGTACAGATATAAAAAATGACCTTGTCCTCAATTTGAGACATTTGCATAGCAAGAGTAAAGATTAACCAATTAGCGATTTACATTATAAATGAGGGCAGAAAATAGACTATTAGTCATACCGTAAAAATTGGTGTGGGAATGACACGTTAAAATGTTCAGATCAATAACAATGTTTTATGCAAAACGGGCATCACAACACTTTGAGTGCGTCTTAAATGGTCATTATCTTTTGAAGTGAAGGAAATAATATAGTACCGAAATTTCAGCTGAATTATGTTAAGCTTGTAATGAATATTTTGGAGACCTACGATTGAACTGTCCAAAGATTTGTAGCAGGGTTACAAGTGCCATGCAATACATTTCTGTCTCAGCGTTGGATTTTAGATCATGTCAGACAGAGACCCTATGATCCTTTTTCCTCCAAAAATGCCTTCAGTTCAGTGTCGTTGGGTATGATTGTGTGACAAGTGTCTTGTAGTAGATGTAGCATCTCACACTTAGGATAATTGAATTTCAGCCCATTGTAGACTGCTCAATGTTTAATTCGGGTCAAATCGTCTTGCAGAGTGACCTCACCATTCTCATCTGTGATTTGTCTGATGGAGAGTATTTGTAACTCAGGAGGATAATTTTGATGGTATTGTGTCCTCTGGTCTGGTTTGATCGTGAGGCTTTCATTGTCATTCTTGACAACATCATCAGCACAAACTTCGGCGAGAAGTGAGCTGTTTTCTCCACAAGTGGCTTGGTAGCTTGTCCTAATAGCCTTGTGTGATTGGTTGTTGATGTCACAGTTTTGTCATTGCCCCCGTATTTATTTCGATTGGTTGTCCTGCTGACGTGAACTTTGACTGTCTTGTTGCTTCGTATTAGTTGGTAGATTGGACCAATATCATTATGTATGTTGATAGCTAACTGACCTGAATGCCAAGTTTCTAGAAATTCTGTGGCATTCTCTGTATGATTTCCACATTTCCGCGATCAAATTCATGTTCACAATTGTCTGTATGCATTTATATGAGCGAAGATATGATGCTTCACCGCTAGTTGATGTTCATGTAGACGGATATGAAGAGGGAAACCACTCTGTCCTATGTATTTTTTTCCCACAGTTTCTGCACTTTATTTCGTAGGTAATGTTTGGTGTGTTTTCTTTCGCTATTGCATCTTGTAGCCTGCCTAACCGATTGAAGAGATGTTGTGGGCTTGTGACATACAACGACTTCAAAAGGCTTGACGACGAATTGTGTAAATATCTTTTGATGAGTTTGTGAGGACAACCGTTCTCCATAGAATCACATCGTTGGCAAAAGAAGCTTAAGAAAAAACCTGCAGAGTCGGCTTATCTGTCCAAAACAGGAATAAGGTAGGCACCAACACTACAACTTGAGAAGTTCCCCTAGAGCACCTCGTTTTTCTGACAGGACCTTATAGAAATGATCGCCTCAGCATGCTGACAGCAAATCGACTGACGAAAAGTCGATTCCTGCTAACTTTAGCTTATTGATGAAACAGTTGTGGTTGATGCAATCAAAGGTAGGTAATATTACATCTGTATCATCTTAATTCACCTGTCTTCTGGGGTTAGCAGACCAATGAGGTTAATGGAAACCGTATAGTTATGCTGCTTGTGGAATTCTTTACGCAAATACGTTTCTCTATAATACGCAAACCACATAATGTCAAAATTAAAATTTACCGCACCGGTGTCACGAGTGTTCACGAAATATCAAGTTGTGCAGTACTGGTACACTAGCTGCGCATGTCACTCACAACAACGCACCTATTGTTTGCTAAGTGGCTGCTTAAACCTCGGTAGGTGGATCTAGATTTGAACTCATCGGTCGATAGTCGAGTGCCTAGACCAATAAACCACAGCGCTACATGTAAGTCACCCGGGTAAGTTAGAAAATTTGACGTAAAGTGTTGCAATAGCCTAATCATACCTTGCTAGATGGTGTTAACAGCGATAAGTCAGGGTAGTTTGTAGGTTGATATCTTATTGTCTACGGAAATTGTAGCAATTCCAATTTTCGTATCACCTGAGGACTAATGTTCACAGATGTGTGACACTGTGAAGCTTTCTGAAACCGGATGTGTGGTATATCACACTACGAACTACATGTCTTCATTTTTAGCGAAAACACTATTGGCTACTGTTCAAGGGTTATGTGAATAGGTTGTAGTTATTTGAAAGTTTGTCAGCTGTACTTCGGAGTTTAGTTTTACTCCTTGTGTTATTTTTATTCGCTTAGTGGAATTAGTGTAGCTCAATAAGTCAAGGGCATTCACGTGGTTATCGCGATAATGATGTTGGATGTAGATGAGTCTAGTGCTTAGACTTCCAAGAATCTCCCAGTTATCCACTCCATAATATTACCCAGTGCTTTTTTTGTTCCTGAGCTGGGGTTTTGTCATTAAGTGTACCAGGATTAAGCAGTAACTAATAGATTCTGCCGAGATTCGTCTGCATTGGTGATGTTATAAAGTGTCTAACAAGTTATTCAACCGTAAGAAATAAGTGTTTGTACTTCAACAACTTTCCCAGTTTTTGATAGTTACCTACAGTTTTCAGTGCTGAAATTGCCATTTTCTCCTTACAACTGACCATATTAATCTATGCCTAGTTTTTTTATTTCCAGTCAATCGCACAGTTCATATACCAACAGTTAGAATGGTACAATAGCTCATATCATCTTAGATTGCAAAACGAACGTAGGTGGGTTTGCCTCCTATTTAATGTTGTTTAGTAATTAGCATTTGTTTGTTGAGAAAGTAACTTTGTAAGTGTTGTTACTAAAATTGTAGCTAAGATACCACTAGGTGATATAATGTATTTATGAATGCCTTTCGTAATCAGATGTTTTTTATTTAACGAAATAAGTTAACGTAAACATGAGATGGTTCTCTTTGTCTATAAACATTATTACGCTAAATTTTCCCGTTTTGATCAGATCTACTCTATCGAACCGAATAGAATCAAATTAATTTAAAATCACTTCAACTCTATATGTAGTTAGACAATGGGAAGAGAAACTGAGTACTGTTGTTTCAGAACACTGTAGTCTATGCGAAAAGTATTAATGACAAAAAGTAATCATGTCCTGGTAAGGAGAAACTTTGATAAGACTTATCTATTGTAGTTCAGTGGATTAGATATTCAACGAGTTCAAACCTTGTCCTGTTTGCCAGTGCTTCAGCCACTACACAAAGATGTGTCTGATTTCTTTATACATGAAACTGTTAAGAATTGAATTACCTTTCATTTCATCTCTGTTTACAATTCTCTGATTGTGCAATGTTTCATGAATTACTCTCATTATTTTACAATATATGAGAAGTGTGTGTGTCATTGCTACAATAATTGGTCATAATTAGTTTGATAATTTGATAACTCCACTAAAGAGATACCCACTAGTTATTTAGAAATGACACGTTTTATCCTCCGAAATGCTTTGCATCTCCTTGCATTGACTAGTTGAAATTTTCTTATAACCTCTCTTACGCTTATGTATCAAAGAGATATTAACAGGAGAAAAGTATTCATCTAATTTTTCTAAATATTCGTGAAATAATTTTATCCTATTCCAGGATTGTTCCAAATCTCTGTATATGATAAGGTTTGGTGACGACTACCTTTCTAAATGACTATCAATTTTTCTGTTCATTAATGTGAAACGAGTTTTATTGTTAGATAGTCTGGCGGTCTGTCAGAGGTTACTGTTGTTATCATATACGATTGCATCAAAGCTACAATATGAATTATCTAAATAATTTATGATATGACGTTGTAGTGTACTAATTCATTGAAAATCCATTTGAAGTGAATTGATGCATTCAATGTTCCACTGTGGTCTAATTGTAGATTAGGAGATTAAATAGTTTTGGGTATCTTAGCATGGGTGGTCACCGTTATGGCATTTTACTGGCTTTCGTTTTACCCTCTCTCTCCCTCTCTCTCTCTCTCTCTCTCTCTCTCTCTATATATATATATATATATATATATATATATATATATATATATATATATATATATATATATATATATATATATATATATAGGACAGGTGCATAACATAATTATTCAATCTATTTTCCGGTTTAAAGATTGGCGTGAACTGTTGTCTAGGTTTGCACTATAGCATTAGGAATACTTGTATGATGGCTATCACTTACGTGGATACATATATATATATATATATATATATATATATATATATATATGCACGCATAATTTTCATTGTTTTTAACAGATACATCTAATCAGGCGCCGCTTATTCGGTCGGTTATCAACTACCTGAAGAGAGATATTGGCGACAATACGCGTCAAAATCTACCTTTTTTATATATTAGCTTGTCATAGAAAATGTGGATAGCTTGTCATTAGATAAGGTATTCATTTGTTCGCTCATGTGAAGTTCTTATTATTTCTCATACTTATGGATGTATGCATAAATCACATATTATATAGACCCACCCTTTGGTCGGTTGATGTTGTTGTGCGATAAAACTTGAGTGTCTCATTGTAGACTAATTCAATGGTTGCACTTCGATTATATTTCAATATATATATATATATACTTTCAATTTTCAAAAAAAGTAGTATGTATATGCTTTTCAGAAGGACAGAAAACAATCTCATCTCGACATAAATAAGTTATTATTTTGCTAGTTACTGTCTTGTTCCCTTTTTTTTCTCCTACTGTAGATTTTTCATTACCCTTTAAGTTGAATAAAAATCGCTATTATTATAATTTATTTGACAGTATTTATTACAGATTTTCCAAATGAATTTACATTGACATTTGAAAAAATTCTTTGATTTTGCTAAAACTTTTGTCTGTGGTATTTAAATTAGATGTAAAACAAGAAGTTATGATGCCGGATTCCTCAGGTACTTAAAGTCAGTCAGCAAGAAGTCCTAATCAACCTATTTTCTTTGATTGTTGCTACTCGTCAAGGTGACATTTCTGAGATAATTATCTCCTAAGTCAGAGACTTACCCACTGAATTCAGTACGTTATGACTAAATCCTCTTAATATCGTGGTGTGGCAAATTTAACTGTTGCTCAATAATGTCATATCCTACTTTAATATGAACTGACTGGGTTGCTTATATAAGCTGATAGCATTCTATTTCACTCTTTGTTTATAAACATTGAGCAAAATCTCTATCAACCAAGTTTGTAATTATCATCATTTAAGCTGAACGACGCGACACTGAAGTAGAATTTGTTTGGTGTTAGAAGTTTTGAAGTTAGTCAGTAAAAGTAATCCAGTGTTATGGAGCAATATTTTTTTATATATTGGTAATTTCTGATAAAATGATTAATTAGTGACCGAGAAGAGTAGGATTTGTAGTATGACTGGCTATGTGATAAATTCTTATAAAACTGAAATTATTGACTAACCTCACTTGAGCTCTCACTATTTATCAAACTCACTTTGACTAACAGTTGAGAAAGCTAACTGGCTATCATATGACATTGTATTGTACTGTAATGTTTCGTAAAGTACAACTTACATATACATCAAAATAGTGAAATTCAGGATAGCATCAATAATAACTGATGGTTAATCAAGGGTAAAAGCAAAGATCCGATGAATGCTTACGGTTGCGTAGAAGGTCTAACTTCTCTCTTGTTGCATTAAGCCTAAGTTCTCTACATTCATCAGTTTAGCATATATCGAAAAATTTGTTTTATGCCAATAAAATTTGCATAGTTTTACAGTTTTTATCTATAGGCTATTCAAAATTGTTTCCAATACAATAGGAGATTGGAATATCTTAACCAATAAAGCCACTAGATGATAATCAGTGTAAACTTTAAGTCATCAGTGCTGGGTAAATTTTATCGAATACATAATAAAACAGTATACTGAAGTAACATGGATCATCCCTGTATATAATTGACCACTCACAAATTCAATTAGTGAACCTTACCTAATGAAACAGTTCATTTTCGTAAAATATTTAGTAAACTATAAATCGACTAGATAAACATTTTCTTAGGATCTAGACACAAGTTCTTTCCATCTTCTCAAGTTTCAAAGAATCCACATGAAATAAGAAAGTTGAAGACAGGAAAACAACGTTTCTTTTCGACTATCAGATAATATCTGGCGTCCTCCTGGTAGCTAACTGACTACCTTCCTTTTTTAAAAAAAAAACTCGAATAAACTTATCTGATTTAGACTTAGAGTTTTGTGGCGTCAACAAAATCATTCATGGAAACTATTCTGTCCCTTGAAACAATTCATTCTCATTTCATTCATGTCGATATATATGTGCATATCACTAAAAGAATATTCACGATTTCTTTTGAAGACTCTTTTACTTATTCCTTCAACCTTTCGTCTCCAGTTCAACTTCATATTAGAGAAAATAACATTGTTATTCGTAAAGTGTTTTTGAATAGTTGAAACAAGAACGTTATACAATACGATTGTTCAAAATTCAATTGAAAATAATTACTTATAACATTGAACCTGATGATTAGTCATCATTTCAAAGTTATGATGTTTACAAATGAGGAGATAAATAAATGAGAAGACTTTTGAAAAAGCTTTTTTTTGTTGTAATCGTTTATTATCATGAAAATAAGACTGTTTTTGTCAGAAAATTTTGGTCTACTTAATAGCAAAAATTATTTAGTTCATTTAGAAGTATTACAAGGTAAAGCATACTGGTAACTACCACCAATAGTTTTAAAACACTTATATAAATTAGCTACACTACCATCTAAAACTACCTACCTACCTACCAAAACCTTTGGTTAAACTGTCTGTGAATTATTGTAGATTTCTTTAGTCATCCTAACATTTATGTTTGTTATTTCCGATTGTTGATGGGTTTGGACTGAATTAACGCCCTACTGTTGGCATACAAGCTACCGTGTAAAGGTACCTTGGTATAACCAGTGATTCCACTTTTATATTAAAGATGAATAGTGGCCATTAGTCGATTCTAGGATATGCGTTCCATCCTATTTAGGACTTGTCAGCTGAATGTTTTCATAAACAAAGTGCGCTTGATCGAAGATAAAATTACCTATCCTGATTGTTTCTATGAAGTGCAAAATTGTGTAGTAAGATTATCCCGATCGCACAGTAGTGTATATCAAGATTTAAAGCCTAAAAATGTCTACCTCATCGGCCAATGACTTGAAATGCTGATTTCCATGTCAGTCACTTCCAGTCAGAAATCACATACCAACAGTCACCGATTAACTTGATCTACTGCGATCAACAAGAGGAAATAAATAGTATACCTATTGCAAGAAGATTACTTATCATGACACAATAAGCAAGTGGATAACCAGGCGCTATATCCAAGTTTCGGTGGGAACAATACTTCTAAAAGGCAGTTATGTGCGGCTTGCTAGTGTCTAATAGGACTGAACGCGCGTCCTGGATTACTGGACTCCACTATTCCCTCTTAGTTTTGAGTTGTCTTACTTTAGTTGGGAAAAAAAACTATTGGCTAGCTGAAAGGTCATCGGAAAAGTTCTGTTAGTCACTTGTTATGCAACATCAGTGAGAATGCTGTTGTTTCTATTACAGCGTGGTTTGAAAACTGCTAGACATTTTACACGTATAATCGAGACGCTTCTTCTCTCCAAGCATTTCCTATAATCCTGAATTGTTTCTCTCTCCTGTACTCTT